AAAGTGTATGGGGTCTCCGTTAGTGAGAGAGACAGTGAGAGTGTGAGAATTTGAGTGAAGTGAGCTATCAAATTCGATTCTGGGAAGATAATACCCAAGAAACGCTGAATGAGAACGACATTTTTTTTTATTTTTTAAATCAGAAATTACAAAAATTAAAAAAAAAAAACAAATACGTTAAAACGCTACTGTATTTGAATTATTTTTTTTATTGTTTTATTTTTTAAAAACAGAAATTACGAAATGTTTAAAAAAAAGTAAAACATGTAAAACGTTGACTGAGGCAGCGTTTTATACTTTGTTTTTTTAAAAAAATCAGGGATAAAAAAACACTGACTCGATCAGCGTTTTACCCCAGAAGCTTAGTTTGGTAAATAGTTTGGCCATGCGTCTTCTTTGGTAATTAGTTTGTGAAATTGCCTTACTTTGGAAAATTGTCCTCAATAAATATACTTCCTCCGTTTTTTTTTACACCACACTTTTTTTACGGTTCCCCATGCAATTTAGTGGGTGAGTGATTAAGTAGGTTGAGGGGTATATCTTAAGATATAATTAGTAAACTAATTAGTCTACTCCAACCACCACTACACCACCACCGACACCACCACAGCACCACCACCACCATCGAATCAACCAACACCACCACAACACCACCACCACCATCGAATCCACCAACACCACCGTAGCACCACCGCCACCACCATTGGATCTACCGACACCACCCCACCACCAAGAAAAACACAGGAAACACCCTTAATCCAAAACAACCACTACCACAACCACAAACCAAAAATTCAAGCACAACCACAAACCCAAACCCAAACCCAAGCACAACCACAACCACAACCACAGAAAAGTCAGTGGTGGTAAGAGAGAGGAGTCGTGAATAGGCGAAAACTTGGGGAGTGTGGCGGCGGTTTTTGCTGGAAGAGGGAGTGTGGTGGCGGCGGTCTTTGCTGGAAGAGGGAAAGTGTGGTGGTTGTGGTGGATAAGAAGTGAGAGGATGAGGAGTTGATGAGAGAGAGAGAGAGGGTGGTGATATGGTTGCTGAAATGTTGAGGATAGAGAGGGGGGTGGTTAAGGAATGAAGGATAGTGTGAGATTATAATATCACAATTTAAAAGATTCATCAAAAGAAATCTCTCCATCATTTATCAAAGGCACATTAACATATAGAAGTGTCCAATAAGCTAAATAAGTATACGTAATGCTCTGTAGTTTTGCTCCATTGTTTGATTTGAGATTTAATCTGAATGATTAATCATGAAGCCTAATCACATCGTCTACTCATTTTTAGTGTAACCTCTATGCATCAAAGCCTCTACAAAGCCTCTATTCATTTTATGGTTGATCATACAAGGCCTTTATGCATCTACAGAGTATTATGTAGTTGTAGAAAATGATAGACATTTTTTTTTCCTCTTTTTTAGTTTAATTGTATTATTACCTAATTACAATCAGATCACGCAACGCCTAAAACTATTCGGCAGCCACATTCTATACTGTACATTTGTGCTTAATGTTTAGTACCACCACTTCATGATTTCAGGCGGCCTAAGCTAGTTACTCTATTGCTTCGTATTTAATATTTCCGTGGGAGCAATAATTCTTTCCCTCCAAAGCCATCAGTAAATCGCTGCCATGCTTGCTGCATATAAGCATGCTTTCTTATTCTGAGACCCTCAGTTTTGTTATACCACCAAATGACCAAGAACTAGTACTCCTACATCTTAGTTACGAGTACAACACATTCGAGCATTGTTAATTCCCAAGCATACACCACAACAGACCAAACAACCCCAATACTAAAACAAAACCTTAGAATCCAAAATCTCAATAATCATCTATATTCATAGAAATATAGCAAATTTAACTCAAATTAGAAAACACACACACACAAAAGGAGATTCCCTGCTATCAAAGACTTATACTCGAATATTCTTCTCATCATAATCCTTTTATTCTAATCAGCAAATTTTGCTCTAATCATTATCTTTTCTTGTCAAATGATTTGTATTTAGCACCCTCTAATCGCAAGAAAACATTACATTCCACAATGTCCACATAAATTCATAAATCAGTTTGTCAATAATATACTGATTTCACATGGTGGATGTGCAAATCGTGACTGAAAACTTATTTGATGAAATTACATGATCCCTCACAAATTCCATCAATTGCTACATAATATGAGCCTAATAGTAGCAGCCACCTTTTATTCTAGAATTTTGGTATTAAACTAAGTAGATTCAAGCACAAAGTTACTGTCACCAACCCTCTTTACTGTCACAAAAGTTATCTGCAAGCACAAAGTTGCTTGCACATACAGAAAAGCACAAGAAACAACAAAATCAAAGTACATTACTACAATATAAGCTAATCATATTAAATTGAATTCAATTACGAATCAAATAAATCAAACACCCATCTAACTACTGAGTATTCCCTTTACATAATCACCAACTAAGCAGTGTAAGCACCACAAAAATAGGATAAAAAGAAGAATAAAATAATAAGTGAAAAAAGAAAGAGAGAGAGAGTAAAACTTGAGCAATAAAGTGTGCAAACACCATCTGCCACCCAGAAATTCTAACAAATGAAACACCACACTAACAATCAAACTAAAATGGTAGAATTGGATATGTCTAATATATGAAGAGAGAAAGGGGAGAGCAGATATAAAGTGTACCGCATTGTCTGTATCCAGCTCTGAATTGGCTTCGTAAAAAACCTATCATACATCATTCAGTTAGAAACTTAGAACAATCTAGATCAAAAAGGTTTTGAGACTGATGAACTGTCAGACAAAATTTTATTGATGCAATTTAAGTCTTATACTTCGTACAACTAAGCATACAAACTAATTTTGACAGCTTCCAAGATCAAGATCAACATTTTGCCCACAGATCACAATACCTTTGTAGATAGATAGTCTATGGCCATTTTCTGGAACTCCCTACAAAGTTGAAACCACCAAAGAAATCAGCATAGCACAAGTAAGCACTGGAGAACAAAGGGAAAAAAACAAAAAAACAGATGGTATAGAAATAAAGAAAAAAAATTACAACCAAACTAAACAATTTAATTGCCACAGTGTCTCCGATCCTGATGTCTGGCACTGGACGTCGCTCATCCGAAGCCTCAACTGCTCTGTTTTTCAATACCTAGACATGCAATGCTGCACATAGTAAAGTCCTAATTCAGTTGTCATCTCATTCATTGCTAACGACCAAGTCATTTATCAATTGAACTAATAAGATTGGAAATGAACTATTTATTATCAATTGGTATGTCAACCGTGAGGACGATCTTACCAACATTGCTTACTTTAAAGCTTCGAGATATAACCTGATCATCACTTAAAGTCATCTTGGTTTTTATTTGTATAATTACAGTGTATCTTCTATGCTGGGCACAAACTCAGCACTATAAGTCACATCCCACCCAACCACTCGAACTTCCCAGACGATGATTCATTTCTACAACGTACAATACCAATATTGTGAAACGTAAGCAATAGGTTAATAAATAAAAAGCAATACGACTAAATGACACAGCCTCTGAGCATATGATTTCCACAAACTGTTTCCTTGTAGGATTCAGGTTTAGTACAATACCTCTGGATTGCAATCACAATAATCAACTCTCAACCCGCCATACTGAGATTGAAAATAAGCCTTTAATATTTCAAACATAATGTAGTGCTGAAAATTTTCCAAATCAGTCATACAGAACAATAGCTTTAAGTTGTTGCATTAAGTTAATGAACTCGTCCAATGTTTCACAAACTCGTATTAGCAAATCAAGGGAAATTCATATTATTGAATGTTATCGAGTGTTTGACAAACATCTTTTCTCTACTTTACTCCTACAGTGACAAAATTGCTATTAAAGTAATCAATAAGGCTAGAAAGTACTACAAAGAGAATAGGAAAACCAAAACGAAAGATAATACAACACTGCCCACTATAAAATAATGTTTTATTCAATAGAAAAAAAGAATTAAAGGTAAATACTGAGGGAACTTAAGAAGCTAAGAGAGATACTTGATAGATAGAAAATATTAATTGGAAAGAAAAATAATTTAATTAGGGAAAAGGTCGTGACATTCATGACAAGATGCATTTATTATGAGTAAAGGCTGTTCTCTAACATAGTGCTGCCAAATAGATCGCCTTTCACAGGGCCATTATCTAACAAATCATCCATTTCTAGGAGATATTGATCCCCTATAAGGAGAACCACCTCATTGTGCAAGCCATTGTATGATGGGAATCCCTCAGGCCCAAACGAGTCTAGAAGATCTTTAGCAAATAATGTAATGAGATGGCCATCTTTATCAAATGCTGCAAGAATACCTTTATATGTACAGCCCATCAGTATCTTTTCTTTCACAAAAACTGTGTGTTGGGGGTCAAAGGGGCACACCAACCATGGCATTGGCTTTGGACTACCAAAAGATGTACTAGCTTCGCCATCAAAGTGAACGAATACCACTTCAAAATCAGCGACCCTTGCTGTTTTATTTTGATTGTACCACTCAAGCAATGTATAATAGGTGTCTGATGGCGTTTCCACTAGGTCAATGTAGAGAAGGACATGTTTTCCCCGCAGTTCGCCTATAGGCACTTCATCAATGCCATTGCTGATATCATTATGATTAGTCAAATTCATGCGAAGAACATAATCCCGTGACCCATAAACCAGCAAAGACTCTAAGGTGACTGCCCTTATCGCTTCCAATTCTCTCTGCACAAGGGAGTGCCTGGTGAAGGGATATCCATTGATACCCAACCGGTTAATAACATATTTTCCCAAGTGATCCGCAATATTCATCTTGGGGTCCAAAATGACCAGTTCATCCTCTTCGTCATGGTGATAATAGCTTAAACCAATTTCCCAGAGCCTGCGGCTTACAAAGTCGTTGAACGGTGAAACCCACCAATGAGGATTAGCAGATATCTTGAGCTTATGTAAGACATGATTGATAGCCTCTTGGAACAATAGTGGATCCGAGCTGTCTCTGTAAGGTAAGTAGACGAGGACGATGTGGAATTCCTGGTCCCGAGCCTTACATTCTTGAGAAAGCAAGTTGAGCGTCCGAATCAAGGTGCCATCATAGCACAAATACAACCCCACAAGCTTATCTTTGAGTTCAAAAACCGAGACTTTATTCTCAAGATCTATACCCACAGTTACAAAATCATTAGCCCCAGCAGCATTATTATTTATCTTGAAAACAAATTCAGAGTCTAAATTTGAATGTAGGTGGGTGTGAATTTTCCACCAAGAATAATCAAATTCAGGATCACAAAAGGGGGAAAGGAAAGCCCATTATACCCCAAAGAAGGTTTATGCTCAACAACCTTTTGATGGTGGTCTACTAGAAGACCCACTGAGTCCGAAAAAAGGCCAAGGGAGTTGCATATTTTGTCACGACTCAACGTGTCAGAGAAAGGGACTGCAAGCCAGGAGGAAGGAAAAGCTGAAAAGAAGTGGTTGAAAGCATCCTCATCATTAGCCCAGTTTCGTCTCATTTTAGCCACCATAACCATCTCATAATCGGATTTGGGTAGATTAGAATATGCAGTAATTATCCTGCGAATAGCATAGCAACGGTCTGAATCTAGCCAGAACTGAGGCACGAAAAAGCAACAAAACAAGATGTTCTTTCCCCTAAGAGTGTCAATCTCAACTCTAAGGCCATCATTTCGGACCAAGTAACCCCTCTTTCTGTCGTATCCATTAGTGGTGGGGGACAACAAGGACATAAGATCGAAGGGCAAGGGATCGCCTTTGGTAAAGGGAATTTGGTGTTCATTGTCATCTATTTTCTCATGTAAACAATCATGTACTTGATCATAATGGTGCATACACCACGTAAACCCATCCTTAACAGTATGATCACGTACCCAAAGGGGCTGCATCTGGTCTGGCAGTGGCTTTCCCAGGGTTCGATGATCAAAACCCCCCATCTTCAATATTTGGTCTTTAGGGCGGTGATCTTGAAAGTGCAGTATGGAATCCACAGTCCTAGAAACCCAACTCGATGGAACATCTGGGAAGCAAAACTTCTTCCCAATCTTAAACAACCTACTACTAGACCCTGTTCTCATCCTTTGTTTCAATTCGTTTCGATGCTAAGAAATTATGCAAACGATGATAGTATTAAGTGCAAAGCAAATCCAATCCAATCAAGTAATCAAGCCATAGAGCGGAGGTTAGATACTGCAAGGAAATTAACAATCCAAGATAATTAAACTGAGTAATTGTATTTATTTGTCACAGCTAGTAAAATTGAACAAGAGCATACCCAATTACAAGACTACTATTTGTCTAAAAAAAATTACTTTGTACAAGACTACTAGTTGCATAATATTGCTTTGTAATCTCCAAATTAACAGAAATCATGGTCACAAAATTTCACCTAATTTGGGTCAAAAGTTAACAAATTCCTACAAAATTTGATACTCCGTATATCCAGATGAAATTTCTTGCTCTAATTGACAAAAATACAACATTGGGATGAATGGGTAGATCTAAATTGCAAGAAATCACGACCAAACCTGACTAACAAAATTAGAATCACTCTCACAAGACTTGGTTAATCAAAGAACATCCCTTAGTACCCTTACAATACTATCCATAGCAGTAGGGGTATAGATACCTTTCTTCAAAATTTGGAACAAAGATAAATCACCAGTTTCCACAACAAAACTTCAGAAACCAGCTTCCATAGACAATTGCAATGCCCAATATATATCAATTTCTAACTAAAAAACAGAAATGCCAAATTATAGAATTCCCATGAATTTGAAACCCTAATTATACAGGATATATAACAAATCATCAATTTCAAGCAACTCCAACACTAAATTGATAAATTAAATAACAAAAACAACTTAGTCACAAAATCAACCCAATAACTCACGAAGAATAAGAAATTAAAACATTTTAAATTCAATAAGAAATTGAGTTACCTGAATATGTAATGATATTGAAAGATGCGGCTGCCGGTTGGTACGAAACTCGGACTATATAAATTACAATAGCTAAAATTAAGGAGAGAATAATAATCAAATAAACAGAAAATATAATCCCATGATTGTAGGCTTGATTAAGGGAAGATATTGATGGGGAATTATATCTTTGACTGATTATCCTTTGATATAATTGCTACTCCTTGCTACTCAGTAGTGTTTATAGACATATCTTTTGAAATAGCGAGATTTATTAACTCTACAACTGGCGTATTTATTTAAACCGGAATTAAGCACTTTTTCCATCACTCGGCAGTTAATTCTCTTCAAAACACAATTGCAATTGCGTTTTTATTTTTTCGGCTCTGATTATCACTTACGAATTTTAATTAATCTTTGATCTGGTACAAAATACGACGAAACGGAATTCGGTATAAGCGGCTGCTGCTAAATCCACAGGTAATTTTTCCCGTCATTCAAATTTATTTGATTTTCTGCAATTACTATTCCGAAGTTCTATTTCTTGATAACAATGGTTCGAAAACGGAATTTGGGAAAAAGGCCTGTGTCTATTGAAGAAGGAGGGACTGATGTGCCATAAGATCTATTGGTAATTGGTCGACGTAATAAACCACTTGGGCGAATGCCACCTCTTAGTCAAAACGTCGTTCTTCCAAGAAATGATGATAGTGAACCGATAATTGAAACTCCGATTGCAGCTGTACCATTGGCTTCCCTGTCGTATATAGAGTGTGAAGTGCCTATTATCTATAGAAGTGGTGCTACGCACAGGCCGCGGCGACTGCCGATGGGTGCCGAAGAGTAGGACAGCCATACTGATAATTGGGGGATTACATCTAATGCTCCATATACATGGTGGATTACAGAGAATCTCCACCACCGTTTTGTCGAGCAAATAGAAATTTTTTACGGTATCTATGAAGAGGATGGATATTGGTGTCAGATGCCGGAAATTGAAGATATGATACACAGACCTCCGCCTGGATATATCGGAGTATATACCTGACAACTGCAATCTAGATTGAGATTTCCTCTCCACCCCTTTGTGACTCAGGTATTAAATGGGTACAAAATCTCATTGTGTCAGTTAACACCAGCCAGTATTCGAAGAGTCATGACGTTTTTATGGGTTGCTATTTTCTTGGGATTTGACCCAAATATTTATGTGTTTAAGCGGTTACATAAATTGGTGGTGAATAGACAATCAAATGCGGATCACGGCCCTGGATGGTGGCGAATTGAATCTCGTAAAGGGATTCTTACCACTTGGCCGAACGATACCTCTGACAAATATTGGAGGGGTCAATGGATTTGGGTGAGGGCTCCGTACGCACAGACACATCCGATTTTTTTGGAGGTCTGAGATATTTAAGTAAGCCAGACCCAAATATGTCGGCTATTGGCACATCTGAACTTACGGATGATGATCATAGGTTACTGAAGCTCTTTGATAGAGTGACAACTAGAAGACAAGGTCGAGAAATATACGTCCCTAAGACTTGGTTACCTTGCTATCATTATATCTTCCAAGAGAAGATATAAGCTGCTGTAGGTTTGAGCCGAAAGTACCAGAGCGGTACGTGTTTATTTCATTGCCAAATTCTTGTATTTATCGTTATGTTTTATTTTTGTAAAACCTTTATTTTTTATGCTTTCAGAACTGAGTGAGACGAATTGTGGCTTAAACTATACAGTGCTTGGAGTAACCGCCAATAGAAAAGTAACACAGAGCAGTCCAACAATAATTAAACCTTCTCGAAGAGCTCCTTGGTTGCATATGTCTTACCTCGATATAATTAAGAAAAATGAATATTCTAAGCAGAAGCCTTGGTATAAGAAGCGTGACCCATTCTCTCCTTTGAGTGTTGAAGAAAAAGCCATTGCTGATGCTGTTTATTTAAACTTCGGTATTCCTCTATTAAATTCTGGAGTTGAAGATAAGGTCAACTCCGACGACGATGATTTATCTAAAACTTCGGTACGTATATGTCTAATTTATAAGGAATTTACTACATTTAAGATCTTGTGAATATATTCATTTTTGTCTTCTGACTTATGAGTTTGTGAGAGATTAATCAACTGTATGAGCTTTCGGATAATGTTTTTTTTATTTTTTAAACCCTTTCTTTCACTCCGGTTATAAATTGATGAAGAAATAAGTAATTAATCTATGTTAATGTATATTTTCTTCTCTCCATTTATTTCGACTACAGGATGATGAGGCTTCCACTGATCTATTTTGTGCTGACAAAGAATATGAAGGGGAAGCCACGAACAAAGAGATCGTGACCGTCATCGATTCAGAGCAAGATCCCTTAGAAGATTTTTTACTACCGTCAAAACGACACCACGTAACTGGGGTTACATCCGAAGAAAACGTGCAGGACATAACCGTTTCTGATGTATGTCGTATTCGTGCGGCAGGAATCCAGTAGAATAATCCTCAACTGATGGCTTCTATATCTGAACACCTAACGGCGGGTCCTGCCGAACAAAAGCAGCCATGTGTACCTGCCTTTACTTCGCATACTGAAGATGACGATGTGGTTATTTTAGAGGACAGACCGGAATGTTTTAAGGAGGGCAGAGAGCATGCTGATGAGTTTAAGCATAAGGATGTGCATCCTACTTCTGCTGCAGATATCGTAAAACCGTTTCAGCCTGATAAGGAATTTCAATCTGCTATGCTCGTGAATGTTCCTTATACTGTAAGGCAGATATTTATGACAAACCAAAAATTGGCTACACAATTTTTCGGAGATTTGTCCGGGTACTCAGACATAGACAGAGCCAAAATATGGTTAAATCAGGCTGCTTCTGGAGCATACGACCTGTCTGAACAAGTGCCAGATCCTATTTCCGACAATTTTAAAATGTTGACGAAGGTAACTTACCTGTAACACTTTTATTTGGACGATTTTAAAAAAAAAGGTTATTCATCTTTTATTAATTATAGATTTGTTTACGTTTTTTTAGAGATTTTTAATAGAAAACAATCGTAAATATCTTAGTTTAAATATTTTAAATTTGTAATTTTGCAATATTTAGTTTCTTATTAAACATTATTGCATTGTTCTCTTTCGGCTCAAATAAGTGTTTCTAATTTGTAGGTTGTTCACAATCATGTGATTATCGATGGTATAAATGAGGAGCTCAAAAACAGGGTCAAAGCAGCTGAGTCACGATTTCACACGGCAGAAGTGGCAAGAAAGAATACAGAAAACATGATTTCGGAAAATCGTACCATAATCAACGATATGAGGAGGAGTTTCCAGGTCTTCTGTAGAGATGTAGAACAATCTATTTATCCTCATCTTCAGCAATGTGAGGAGTTATTTCGCTCCTATGAAGTTGAAGACATATCGAAATTCAAACTTTGTTTGGAACAAATGTTTAAGCAGGAGGCGGATGAGCGAGAACAATTGACTAAGGAACTGAATGAGAAAATCTCCCAGGCCAAGCAAGAAGCTGAGCATTCACAGTCTATATTTGAGGCCAAAATAAAACGTCTAAACTCTTCGGCGTCTGTTAAAGACGGGCGTCTGGCAGGGATTGAAAACCAGATACAAGCGGAAAAAGATGCTGCTGCAAAAACCAAGGTTGAGTTGGAATGTGCAAGGGATTTGTTAAAGGCACGTGTATATACTCAGGAACAGTATGACGATAATTATGAAAAAGGATGCAAAATTGGTCGTCGTCTTGCGATTCACGCTGCACCGAATATAAATTGGGATTTGGCTGAAAAGTGGTCTATGGACTTAAATCACCCAAATATGCGGCGTCCACATCGTAACGAGCTAGCCTTGATTGCTCGGAATTCTGGAGACGACAATTTAGGTCAAAACGACGATGGTGTTAAAAGGGGTTGATCTTAAAGGTCATGATCTTGGTGAGTTTACTATGTCATCGGTTGCTAAAATGTCAGGGACTCGATATGATAGTGCAGAGGATGCCAATGTATAGATATTTGGGGAGATGTTTGAGATATCTTATAGCTATGTGTTTACTTTATTGATATTAAGATGTTTTTTCTCGTTCTTTTCGTCGTAACTATTTCAACGCGCAATTTGGTCGAAAAACAGTTTAGCGTTCGTAACAGTATATAATCTTTGAATGCAACTACCTACATTAAGAAATTTATACGGCAGATTTAAATCGGTTGGATTTTTTAAAACGAATTGGTAAAGTAAACTTCCGTAGAACAATACCACGGAAAATAATAATCCATTCTCCACAAAATAATTAAACAACCAGTTAAGACAGATAAGATTTTAACACTGTATCAAAGATAAAGAGATGAATAAAAATACCAAGACCAAATATTATCACTTTAATAATCTAACAAATGTCACGCGCTTTTTAAGAACCGGTTGCAATTTGAGATTTAAAATCCAATGTTGTAGACTTCATTCATGGCTTTTCCTCTTATACGTGTCTGAATCCTGAATTGAACTCGAATTATCTTCGTTGTAATTTCCATAATCGAAATCAGACCCACTATCATCGTTTTCAGAATCATTCTCGTTACAGTCTTCATCATCGACGTCATCATTGTGATCATCATCGTCGCTGTTATCGGCATTCTTTGGTGATTGTAATTTTCGAGTCCGAGTTATTGAATTACAAACGTCGTCGCTATCTGATGCGTACGAAGCCATTAAATCATTCCAAGGAGCAAGTTTTTTGTTATTTATATCTGCTTTGTCGATAAGAGCATGTTTAATGGAGGGGATTCATGAATCCCCTTAATTCTTCTCTCTCCTTCTCTCCTTTTGACACATCATTTCTCTTTCTTCCACATCATTTTCCACTATCTCCATCCTCTTCCTCTTCCTCTTCCTCTTTCTTTATTTTTTCCCACAACAAAGGGGATTCATGAATCCCCTTCCTTTCTATTTATGCCCCACCAACTTCTATTTTAGATATTTGTAAATTTAATATGACAAATTATTATAATTAGATTAATGACAATTTTAATATAATACAAAAATGTACAATTAATGATAATTTAAAATGCATAATTAGTAAATAGAACAGTTGTCATGTATATAAAATAGTTAAAAAGGAACGTTGCAATACATTATGTAAAAAGACAATTCATGAAATTCGGAAACATAAAAATACATTAAAAGCCGATAATTGAAAAACGAGAAACTAAATCATAAATACGTTTTATCTTTAAGGTGAGTTGACAAAAGTGCTCCCAAAACTAGCCCATATATGTTCCAGCAAATCATTCTTCAAAGATGTATTAATTTGTTTATCACGAAGATTTTCTCGTGTAGCCATCAATGTAGCTAAATTTTGATCTTTATAACGCCCAGGGGTAACGGTGAAAGTTGTTGCTCCTCTCCTTGATGATCCTGCTAGATTCTCAGGTTGTTCGGTGGAAAATTCAGTTGGATCCCAATAATTCATGTAATTATCGCGCTCGTCTTCTACAATCATATTGTGCATGATAATACACGCCATCACGATTTTCCATAGCATTTCGACACTCCATGCCAAAGCCGGATGTCTAATTATTGCAAATCGAGCTTGTAGCACACCAAATGCACGCTCAACATCTTTTCTAATACTCTCTTGTTTGATTGTAAACAACTTCTGTTTAGGGGTTTGTGGGGAGGTAATAGCGGAAATAAATGTTGCCCATTTTGGATAAATCCCATCTGTGAGATAATATCCTTGGTTATAGGTATTTCCATTCACAGTGAAATTAACTTGTGGATCTCGACCATTTAAAATATCGTCAAAGACGGGAGAACGTTGAAGAACGTTTATATCGTTGCATGTCCCTGGCGTGCCAAAAAAGGCATGCCAAATCCATAAATCCCAAGAAACAACAGCTTCTAAGATCACCGTTGCCCTTTTAGATCTTCCTTGATACATTCCTTTCCATCCAGCTGGACAATTTTTCCACTCCCAATGCATGCAATCGATGCTCCCCATCATGCCAGGAAAACCCCTTTCTTCCCCTTGTTTAAGGAGACGAACAAGATCTTCGGCATTTGGCTTCCGCAGGTATTCTGTTGAGAATTCACGAATCACTCCATTAACAAAGTGTATAAGACATTCTCTTGCCGTACTTGCCCAAAGTTTTAGATACTCATCAATTTGATCAGCAGGGCAACCATATGCTAACATTCTCATTGCTGCAGTGCATTTTTGAATTCCAGAAGCACCCAGTCGCATTGTGGCATCTGGATGTTGTTGAAAAAATCTATCAGTTGCACTCAACGTATTCACTATCTTCATGAATAGAGGTTTTCGCATACGAAACCTACGTCGAAACTTTTCATCGCCGTATAATGGATGGTCACTAAAGTAGTCTGTAACTAACCGATCATGTGCTCCTTCACGATCTCTTGGAACGATCCACCTTGACATTTTTTCACGTCGGGAACCATGAACTTCTTGTTCTTCTACATCGGTGTTAACAACATATCTTACTGTATCCTCTATCACTTCTTGTTGTCGATTTTCCTCAATAAAATCTAACAACATGGAATCGTATATTTCATCACTAGAAGTAGAAGAACTAGAATCAAAATTCATTTTACAATTTTTTGATAATATTTGTATAAAACTGAATGTTAGTATTTGTATGACAATGATAGAATTATATGTGAATGAAACTGGTCAATATATAGACAATATGATCCACATGAACTAAGTAATAATGCAAGAGAATATTTTGGTAACACATTTCAAAATTTGAATTATGAGATGTATGTCAGAAGATTAGATTTTTGCATGACAATAATCTATAGCTTTGCAGAGATATGTATGGCTTTACAGAAAAGTTGACATATGAAGTAGATGTATCAATGCATGAAGTGACTACACACTGAATTTTGTTTTTTGTTTTTTACCACTCCTAATAATAATAATTACAAATTAATAATAATAATAATAATAACAGTCATAATAATAGTAATTATAATAGTAAACATTACAATATGATTAAACATATATTAAAAACATTACAAAATAAAAACTAATACATTAAAAAAATTAAAATAAATTCAGAAATAAATAAAACATTAAAAAAAACTAATACATTAAAAACATGAAATAAATAAAACATTAAAATAACATATAAGAACAACAACTTCATAAGAACCTATTACTAAATTCCTCTCTAAGCTTCTTGTACATTTCTACCTCAAATTCATCAAGGTTAGGTTTCATCATCAACATATTTAACATTTTGAACTTCATCTCCTCTTCCTTTTGCCTTTTCCTTTCTTCATCTCGCTCTCGTATTAAGGCCATCATTCGTTCTCCTTGGTCATACCTCTTGTCACTACATTCTGCAAGAGTTGTATTAAACGAATCAAGGTTTATAGATGAAGACGAAGAACCAGATTCCGTTGCTAGTCTCTTTGTCTTTTTTATGCCATCTGGCCGAGTTCGTGGTTTTCCACCTACAACAGTTGGTGATTCTGGTTCAGATCGTTTTGCACTTCCTCCGCTTTCAGCAGGTAATTGCATGACCTCATTTGGATCCCATTTTGGAAAAGTTTGCATAACTTCAAAACAATGTTGTAAATGGAAATGTTTACCTTTGTTCGCCATTGCAAAAGCATTGTGTGCACGTTTTTCAACATCTGCATCTGATTGTCCACTCTTCGGATGTCGTATCTCGTAACTGTATACCTCTACCCACTTGTTCACATTCGAATTGATGTGATCCCAACGTTGTTGTAAGGACTTAGTATTCCTCGTCTTCTGGAGCTCATCAGGATTTGCAAGTCGTGCTTGTTCGTACAATTTACAAGCTGCAGCCCAAAATCCAGCCTTAGTCCTTTTTGTATTTTTTGTAACATTTCCCCCGGCGTTGATGTAAGCCGAAACAAGTGCGTTATCCTCTGCTACACTCCATGAATTCCTCGGCATAGTCTCTCCAGGAGAAACTTCAACGACAACATCATCAAGATCCTCTTGATGTTGTGCTTCTCGTACCTCTTCAGTTGGAGTTGCGTTCGTGCTACCATCTCCTCCCGGAGAATGGTCCATAGGTTGGGTAAAATGTTGAGACATGGGAAATAATGGACTATGTTGAGAAAAATGTTGGTGATATTGGGTTGTATCATTTGGATTCATTGGTCTTGGTTGATTACCAAACCATTGTAAGGCAGCTTGAAATTAAGGATTATTGAGGATATTTGGATCAAAAGGAGGATTATTTGAATTATTTTGAGAGTTTGGAATATTTTGAAAATTCAAATTTCTTCTTAAATTTGGATTATTTCGATCCATATTGAAAGATAAAATGTAATGACTTAAATTGAATATGAGTGAGATTAATAGGAAAAGGAGAGAAAATATGGAGAAAATGAAGATTTTGAAAATATGGCAAATTTAGGTTCATTTTATAGAGAAAAAAAAAATATAACCGTTGGTGTTTTTTTTTTAAAAAAATAAGTTACCGTTTTTTTTTTATTACCGTTTGAAAAATTATAACCGTTGTAAATATCAACCAATGAGAAAGCAACAAATGTCAGCAAAACCAACAAACAAGTGGGCCCCTGCCAGCCCAAACGGCCAGCAGGAGTGTGCCACGTCGCTGCTGCTGGTCCAACTTTTTTTTTAATTATTTTTTTTTCTTTTTGTTTTTTTCCCCACCTTTTCCAATCCCCTTCCCTATTTCACCATCCTCTTCCCAAAGAGGATTAACCACATTCCTCTTGTTAAGAGGACTCCAACATTTATGTCTACAATGGAGGGGATTCCTCTTAAGAGGAGAGAGAAGGCTAAGAGGAGAGTGAATCCCCTCCATTGCACTTGCTCTAATTACTCTAGGTTGACGGATAGCATTATCATCGACCCGCTTTCTTTTACTGCTTGGTTCTCTGTTTTTTCTACTTTACTCCCCAATCTAGCGGTTTTTCGTTGCAGAAATTCCAAATGTCTGTTCATCTTTTTTGTTATATCAGTATAATATAATAGGAAACTTGAAAGTTTCTCTTGTTTAAAATTTCCTGCACTTGGCTTCCACGAAGGCAGAGTAAAAGCTTCTCCAGATGTTGCAGTGCTATTAGTGCTCGCCATTTTTTACCTGTTTTGGGGTTTAAAAGGTAGAAGGAAAAATGGTGGGTGGAAGAATAGAGCATATAAAGATAGAAATAGAAAAGACAATGGTGTAACAGTGTTACAAATAAGATGGCTCAAAATATAAATATAAATATATATATATATATATATATATATATATATATTTGTAATCAAACTATTGACACACATTGTCCTCCTCTTGGCTAAAACTACGTTAGGAAAAAGGCATGTGAGTTCCGGCGCACTGTGCAAAAAGCTTTTTCCAAACCCAGAATGCCGAAATGGCAAAGACCCCAGGCAGTGTAAGTCATCTTAAGTGAATAAATAAATAAAAACAGCGAAAACAAATATTCGACAACAGCCATAATGTCATGGTAGTCTCCCTTCCTTAAACACATTAACTATTTAAAATTATCTTATAATTTTTTTTTCATTCAGAGCGAAAAAAAAGAACGGGGATAGAATCTTCTATTCTTAATGGCTACGTAAATTCGGTACTATAACTTTCATTGTAAACTTCCGCTTTAAATTGGACTATGTATTTTATTTGTACAAATCACATAACTTTATAATCTGTAGTTATGCCACCTGATTTATTAGTTTAATTATAGAACATTTATTTGATAACTGTTCCGTGTGTGAAATAAGCTATTTTTCATTTAAAATTTCCGTTTTAAATTGGGTCGTGTGTTTTAGTTTTCAGATAGGTTAATTTTTACAATCCTGGTTATGTTATACGATTATAAAGTTTAATTTGGGTCTATGTGCAAGGTATTTAAAATGTGATATTACAATAATATTATTTATGAATTATTTTAAATAGAACTCTTTTCGGTTCAAAACACATAATTGTTATTATATAATATTACATTTGTAAGCCTTCACAAAATTAAAATAATATTTTAGAAACAATGGATTTATTTTGGGATGAAGTTGGATAAAAAAAAAGGGGCTTAAGGTGGAAAAAAAATTGCAATAAGCGTAGACAAACAGAGAAAAAAACCGAAACAGCTTTAAATATTTGGAAAAATCGACGGTTACAAAAGTTAGTAGAAAATGAGAAGGCGGTGTAAATATTTGCGATTTGACAGTTCAGTGGATGATAGTGGTCAGTTAATTGGAAATGTAATGCGGCGGTTTAAAAGTACTGAGTTAGATCCCATCAATATATAATCGGTGTTTTCATCTACATTGAATATCCGCGCCAGTTCTCATTTCACCTCAATTCTATTCCATTGGTCGACCACAAAATACATAAATGGCTCTAAATTCTTTTGATAGTTATGATGGTTCGAGTAACCATCACTTACCCTATCCATGACAACCGATATTGTACTTTCAGAAACAAAAGAGGGAGGTGTCTGAAATAAACCTCAACCTTGTAAAGTATTTTGGGAATCCTTTTAATTTTTGTAATGGAATAGAGGAGCCTGTGCAGTGCATTAGGGCACGTCTTCTCCAATCCATGTGTTCTAAAACTTATGGCATTAAGATACAAGAAGACACGCCGAACTCAGGACACGTCCCTCTTTTAGAGGATTTATTAGGCTGCTATGACGAAGGAGCCTGTGTCGTATTGTATTGGCTCATAGAGAAGTTCTATTTCTCAGCCTCCCCTCTTAAAGTACCTTCCGAGATAGAAGAAGTAATTGACTTAAAGCCTAATCTCAATGTGAACTCCATCGTTAGTTACAGCTTTCCGCCGAGGTGGCGTAGCATATATGTTGGTTCTTACACTGATACCGTCCATCTGATGACGATTGACACCGCTACCACCCATTTGTGGTTTAGTGTAGAAAGTTGTACCTTTAAATCCGACCATAATCGTCGCTGGTCCATCCGTAAGCGATATCACCGCATTAGCTATAAAGCAGATCATATTTCCTCGGCCGCCGATCGAAAGGTATGACGAAATCTGATGACTCCACCTTGTTGTTTCGTTCATTTTCTTACTTAGTCTTATATTGGATGATGGAAGTCAAAATGAATAGTCAATGTTTATTTAATATGCTAATATGCTTTGTTTATTTATCTTAGTTTATTTTATGATTTTGTCAAATTATATTCGAATATATCCTGCTAAGTATGCTAACCTATTCGTATATTCTGTTAAGCATGTTTATATTTTTATTATTCTTTAAGTAACTGATTTTATCTTTATGTTGTAAAGATAATTTTCTGTCAAATGTATTTATTTATCTATCTTATTATTTATCTTATTTGGCTGACTTGATAAGTTTTCTGTTTAAGATAAATATTGTTGTTACTTGTGCTTGCTTAAATATTGCTGTTACTTGTGCTTGCTGACCTGGTTTTTAGGAAGCTAAGTATGCTGTAACAGATTTCTAGCTGGAAGATAAACGTTGATTTTAAAGTACAGCTTTGAAGTTTGAATTTGAAAGCTTCGAAATTTCTGGAGTTTGTTGAAGACCCAGAGACTGCTGGCAACGTTTTAAAGCCAGCTTCAAAGCCTTATAAATAGCATGGAGTTCAGCCGGTTTTATTATCCAAGTCTTTCAAGAAATCTTGTGCTATTCTAAGAGCTTTAATTCTCTCATTGTTTACTACTCTTTATTATTTAAAAGTGAGGGAAAAATACGAGTGTTCACTTGTGCTAAACTTTGTAATACTTGAGTGATACACTTCGTAGTAAAATTATAATACTCGAAGTTATTTGAGTGTGTTAGCTTTTATTTCTAGGATTTGAGTGTCTAAGGTGTAGTGGGAAGTACTACGGAAAGAAGATAGTGAGATCTTCTAGGTTGCTTTAGAACTCTAAGGGAAGAAATAAAAGTTGGTTAAAATCCTACGGGTTGAACAACCCTAGGCGGAGACGTAGGCCTTTGTGCTGAACTTCGTAACAATTCCTTGTGTTTATTTCTGTTTTTATTTTTGCCTTGTTTTTACTTTCGTTCTTTGTTTCAAACAGTTTTAGCAAAATCCAAAACAAACGTTTATAACCTTCTGCTTACTAACTGTTTTACTTTAAATAGTTTTCAAAGTCTTGATTTATAAAACAGAGATCAGTTTATTCCGCCCTGTAACTGATCTCAAGGCCTTGACATTTTCTGTTTTGCGAAAAACGCCCATACTCTATTCAACCCCCCCCCCTTCTAGAGTATTAATATGTTTATTCCATTACCATTGTGATCCTTTCAAAATCGATGAAGGATCTGTCGTTCTAATATGGAACGCCCGAGGATGCTCGAGACCCTTACGAAAAATTTCTCGATCCTATACGAAAAATATAATCCGATCTTATTCATCATTTTGGAAGCTCGTTTTGGGAAATATGCGGGAAATAGTTTCGTTCATAGCCTTCCAGTTGAATATCAAACAGAGATAAGTAGTTTGGAGTCACGACCTGGTGGTGTTATGACGATATGGAAACAAGATAAGCAAAAAAGCAATTTCTTACACGACCTAAATGAGATTAATGAAATAGCTGTTGACGTTTTCTTTCAGGTAATTAGTTCGTTTTTTTTAATATTATTTAGAGTATAAATTAGTGCAATGTAAGTTGTTTAACAGACTAAGTGTTGCTTCCATTTATAGGCTCCATTATCACCTCTGCCACCACAGGCATGGCGTCCACAACATGTTCAACTGAACGATGACAATTTCATCTCGAACGAAGGTGCAGAGTAAGGTAGTTTATACTTCGATTCGGATTGAGCTTTCAGTGGCTCCATGCACGAATAATGACCAGAAAAAGACCTATGATGAAGAAGGGATCAACACTCCTTGATGCTCGGTGTCTTTAGTTAATTATAACTTCAGTTTTAATTGCTTTTTTCTCGTATTAACTATTTTCTTGTACACCTGAAATTTTATATCGGTTATGTTTTGAATATGTCTTGTTGTAAATTAATTTTAAATAATTTCTGCCTTAATTATTTTAGTATCGTCTACTACTGATTTGTTTAGTGTTGTTAGTAACATATATTTTTTGCTTATATTTA